CACACTCTGCTACACTAGATAAAAATCCAAAAATACGAAGAGAAGATTCGGGAAGAAATGCAACGAAGAGATTTCTCTTCTTCGTACGAGGATCTTCTTCGTATCCAACGTGATTCCAGTTTCTTCGTTAGTCGCGAAGCGAATCGCTTCGAAGAGAAAGGTACAGGTGGTGGGGGGAAGAGGCTACAGTTGAGCGAAAGACAGAGAGAAAGAACAAGTTAGAGAAAAGAGAGTGAACAAGACTGTAGAGGCGAAGGCAACAGCCTAACTCGTCGGAGGTCGGGTCAAATAATAAAATAAAAGAATATGGTGGATGGGGTGTAAGGTGGTGGCGTGGCAAAGGTAGAAGAAACTTTCTGCTATGGGTACACAACGCGATGGCCGACCGCCGGTTCGTCGCTGCTGGAAAAAGATGCGTGGCCAACGAATCGAGCCTCGACCCGAGGGAGAAAGAAACACAGAGAGGGATATATCCGACGTTGCCACATGCTCACTGAATTTCCGACCGGTCAAATATAAAGGCTGTCTTTATAAAGACCGCCCCGCGGTGTATATTTCTCTCTCCCTTTCTCTTTATCGTACCTTCGAAACTCGCATCAAATTCTTGACGTCTCATTAAACATAGTCGGATTTCAACGAGTTAAACGGTGATGTTTCCTCTTCCCCTTCTGCCTCAACACACAACATACAACACACCGTGCTATGAAACACGATGAAGAAATGAATTTTTCTTTTTTTTTTTTTTTACTAGATTTTATACATCTAAGTATATATATTTCGATATCTGGAATCTCAAAAATAGTACTAACATCGTCGAATTACGGAAATTTCAATTATATCAAAGTCATTGGACAAATAAATGAAAATTTGATCACAAAGTGCAAATGTTAATGTTTTATACTGTGAAAGAAAAATTTATAAATATGTAATTACTTTTAACTTCAATAGTTATTTTAATTTTTCAGATATTAATAAAATTCTTTCAATATTACGCATTAAATACTGTTTATTCATATGCATTCACGATCAGTATTATGTATGTCAATACGTATGAGTCAGTATGTATGAGACCGTTGATTATCTGATGTTTTTGTAAACATATCGTAGCCAGCATTCAATGTATGAAAAAGAAAAATCAGCACACTTAATATCTATCCACAACAAGATTGGAGGGAATGCGAAAATAAAATAATGTAATATAAAATAATCTCTGGACGATGGAAATAATTGAAATTACAATAATAATTTAATATTAATCTTATATTATATTGTATGATTAATAAACCATTATGGTTACATTAGTAGCATCTGAATAGACAATATTAAATGCACAGTATCAAAGGATTTTTTATTAATATTTCGAAAATGAATAAATATTCGAAGCTAAAATAGAGATTTATCTTTATTCCCTTTAAATTTCAAGTTAATCAACCATCGATATAGAATTGCGACTATCGATTATAGATATCTTGATTGATAGTTTGATATATCGTTAAAATAGAAATAATTAGAGTTTTTATTAATTATTATTAGGGCTCATAAAAATAAATGAGTTTTATTGAAAAACTATATTAATCCGTGTCAATCATTTCTATTTATATTATTAATATATCTTAATGTAAATGTTAAATATTTTAAATATATCGAGAATTTAATAAAACATCGTTAATTCATAGGTATTCTTTAACGTATTTATAAAATATCTTTATAACATTATCTATAACGATAATCACACTTCTCGAAAGAAAATCCTTCCTTTTATTTAGATATTTTCATTTTACCGATGTTGCAAATTTCACTTATAAAAATAAATTTCAATTTACAAAGAATTTCTTCGAATTCGAGATAAAATAATTTATAGAAAATATATATTTCGATTTATAAAAGTTTCCGCAGCGGCGCCAAAAAAAGAATAAACAAAATTACAATCTTATTAAGACGTTTAAATTATCGAGATTCAACTGTGCGATATATTTTTCTTACAACGAAGATGTTCTATTCTCGTTTTGCTTATATGTTTATCGGCCACGAATTTTTAAATACCGTGATGCAGTCAGTGGCTCGAAAGGAGAAGGTATAACGCGACAGAAAATTTGTATCGTCGGGCATGACATTTACGAGACCGTAACGTACAACGGACCAACGCCGTTTAATCGTTATTATCCGGATATACGATTGAAAAAAAAGAAAAAGTTAATATTCACAACGCTATCGATGCACCCGTCGGTGAAATTGTTTGTACACCTGCCGATGAAATATCTCTGGTAAAATCTTTATATATTTTACTTGGCATTATAAATATTAAATGAAATAAAATCTTAAAATTATAAAAGTAGAATAATATTGCAATTAAAAAAATTTAACAAGATTAAAAAATATATATTTTTTATCTTTTTTCCATCCGTTTTTATATAACGTAATAAATTACAAGCTGACAGGAGAGCCATTAAAAGTATTATAATGCTCTATCGGTAAACGTCACAAATCATCCCGGGATTAAGCGCTACTTTCAGTAATACATTATTACGACCGCGTGATTTAGAGACAACATAACGCATCTATACACACTGAACACTCCTAGACTTAACAACGAATGCTTGACCGCAAAGCTAGCCGTCGAGAAATCCTCAACTATTAGTGGCTTGAGCTAATCTCTATCGTCGAATTTATTACTATATATCAATAGGCTTCTGGTTTAATTGCTCTCATGTGCATATAACATGGCGGATTAATAGATTGTCAACTAGAAGCGCAAAGAGATTTAAGAAACGAAGCCTCGAATAGCGGGCTTTCGAACGAGATTTAAAGCTGACACGCATAGGATACGCGCAATCAACGTCAAAAAGAATTTCACGAGAGGATCTCGTCGAAAGTATTCCAAGCGTCATTTCGTGCGCGACCCGTCATCTCGAACACAAAGTACTTCGTACAAATCAATCGATGACAGCTAGTCTTTTCATTTAACACATTTTCTTTAATAATTACTTATTAAATTTGATTTAATAATTTAATTAGCGATTTAAATTGCAACTTTTATTATGATAAATAAGAAAAGGATTAAATATTATATTATTACAATTTTTTCTTTTTAATATTTTTCGAGATAATGTTGATTTCATTCTATATATTTAGAGCCTAAATCTGATGTATTATTTGATTTTTGTAAATAACGTTGTAAATAACTTTTAGCATTGCCAAAGATCATAATATTAAAATTGTCTCGTAATCGTATTTTTGGAAGATTAATTTAAAAAAAAATATTTGATGATTTATTAAATAATATTATATATAATATAACTTAAAATATTATTTCAATTGGAAGTATATATATATATATATATTTAATAAAACTTGATTTGTCTTCGTATAAATAAATATCTCCATTGAAATCTCATCGACTATTTTCACGTTATACATAAGCTTATTCTTGACATTCATAAAAGGCCGTCGATATAGGAATAGGCTTCCAATAATACATCGATAACATAACCTATTTATTTTTTTCACGCTATTTATTGACAGAACAATTTTTCTAACTAACATATAAAAAATAATACTTTTTCCAAATAGAATTCTCAGAATTGAATGTATCTGAAAACATCTGTGCTCAATAACAAAATTTAATTAAAAACCACCGCTCAAAAAAATTATTCATCCCTGTTCGAAATCGATAATTTGTATGATCCAAAATTCGCCGCGATTATGAAATGAAGAAAGAAACGCGTATCAGCGACACGTGCCAACGTTCTACTTTCGATATTACGAGTGCCATGTATTACATAGCACGAAACATATAAACGCGCAAAGGGAATTAGATCGCGCGGGGAATGTGATAATTTTAAAATCAGAGAACAGCAGAAATGTTTCATGTACAAATATTTTGCAATTAAAAAAACAAAAAAGAAAACAATATGATCGTTGCATTAATAAATTAATAATAACGGCGTGAATGAATATTTTTCTAGTTCTAAACGCGAGACACGTGCTTTTCTTTGCAAAAAGAGTGGAAAAGAGCGATGCATAAAGGCACCTGTTACTACTCGCGATACATTATTTCGCAATATTTCGAATGATCCTTATTAAAGTGGCGAAATGGGTCATTTATGATTAGCAGAACGCGTTTATACTTTTCACCCAAATAAGATTATCATGGAGTACACTTGTTTGCAAAAGAATACACCTGTCCACTAGTAATCAGTGGAAAAACAATGAAAAGATGCACTTGAAAAACAAAGAGTTAATAACACGATGAAATCGTTGTATTCTCTCATTTTATTCGTTTAACATGTTTTGACAAGTAATTGCAAAGTTGTTTTTACTCTATCAGTATACATAATCGAAACGAAATATAAACAATGACCTTAATACATGATTAATAAGACGTTAAGATGTAGATGTATCAACGAATCATTTTGATTTCCATTGAGATTGACAATTTGACATTTAATATTATTTATACGAGCTGAACATTTTGAATATATAGATGAATGACGTATGAAGGAAAAAAGGAAATACACTTTTTGAGATAAACGAGAAATCAGTCGAAAACATTTAGCAACAATAAACTAGCACGAAAAGGGTGGTGCGACATCTTTTGTAGCGTGATGGTAGATCTTCCGAAATTGATCGTACTTCGCAACGCGCATACTCTCATTACTACTTGCATATGACAATAAATGGACTTTTCCCCCATGGGAAGATAGAACGTACATGTGCGAACGATTGAATAACAGAAACATATTTTTACGAGCCATAAATGAATAAGAATTTTTCTTAAAATCATGAAATAATAGAGCAAAGATTATACGATAGAAAAGGTTGAGGGTGCGTCTAGTTCTATACGAAAATATCAATAAATAACTATTTCTCTCTTACGAGGAAAGAACAAAACAATCACAATATACACACATCGTGAATGTTAAACTTGTTTTTCTTCTGATGTATACGCACGGTCATCGATATTGTGATATGATTTTATTTAACTATGCTGTAATACTCACCGTTGACGCGTTGTGTATTAAAAAGGTAGAATCCAATAGACGAAACGAATAAGCAATATTATCCAGTGTGGTCGATGATTAGATGACCGGCACTACGATGCACGCTCGACAATGGCTGGCACACATTAAGTACACTGATGCACTACTTGATGTACACGCACTCTTCACCGGACAAAAGCCACTGATCAAAATGAAAAAGCGGCAGTTCGACACACACGAATTAAATTCACTGATCTTAACTAGCTAATAAGTCGTTTGTTGATTGCCAGCGTTTTGATCAAAGAATCCCAACCACCTCCTTTACTATCCTAGGCCCACGGTGGCCATTACACTCGTCGCCGCAACAAGAGAGCGTGTTTTCCTTTTTTCCAAGGGGATCAACAACTCGCCCGCTCCGAGGCCGTGGAAGCGACTGTTCTCGGGAGATTCGCGGTGCGGTCTCATCGACCAATCGTGGACCAGCTTTCACCGAGCGCCATCTTGCTTAGCCGAACACAAAGGGGCCAAAACCCGAATGTTTGCGTAAACGTCCGAACCTTAACCACCCCTACTATCCCATCGACGTATCTCTTCTAGCTTTTCTCATCCCTAACTTTCAATACGGATTTTATTGTAGGATTACCCGCCCTTCCTTTTTTCATTTCGTACAAATCAATTCGAAATGAAGAATAATAATTTCAATAATGAATTTCATAATGATATAAGATTATTTCTTATTCTTTTCAAAATTAAGGAATATTTATTAAATTTTTCTAATTATTATTTAACAATCAAAGAGACTACAAATTCGAACAATACTTTTTTCGTTCTACTTTTAATTTTAAAATACTAATTGCTTTGCGTTTTGCGCCATTTTGTCACAGTTGAAATTGTGTTTTTTGAATCCATTGAGAATTTGTTTAATTTAAAATAAATTAATTTTTTATAAAGCATTAAAAGATAGTAAAAATATTTTATATACAAATACTCAAAAACATAATACTTTTTTAAATATTTGAGAGAACACTAGTAACGCCATCATTGAGAGAAATGGAAGAACATACTCTGTCGGTAATGTTATAATATTTAGAAATGATACATATACGTATGAAACTTTGGAGGTTATGGTTCATGAAATCAAAGTAGTTATATTTTCCTCTTAATAACATTTATTTCGTTTAGTAAATAATTTTAAATAATTTATAATAAATATTTTTAAAGATATTTATATTTGTGCATATTTATTTATTATCAGTAAATAAAATTGAAATAAACAATTATTAAACAATGGAAGAAATGAGTGAAAAGAATAAGAAATGGACTGATGAAGAACGATTAAAACTTGCTTCAAAATTAGATGATGAACTCGATGAATATATAAGTAATTTAGAAAAAAAAAGTTATACAGAAGGATGGCCAGAAGATCAATGGGAACAAGAAATGGAAAAGCATCCATTTTTTATGAAAAAAGTACCAGAACCTGGAGAAGAACTTTCACCCTTGATGGAAGGATTGCAACAGCTCAAATATGGAGAAGATGAAAATACGCCTGAGGGTTTGAATTAATTTATTCTTAAAGTTTAATTATCTTTTAATTATAATTTATTAATATAAATTTTATATAGATATTAATAGTAATATAATTGCATGTGTTTTATAGAACTTGCTAATAATTATAAAGAAGATGGAAATTTCAATTTTAAATATAAAAAGTATAGATTAGCTATTCTGAGTTATACAGAAGGCATAAGAACTAAATGCAAAGATATTGATTTAATGGCTCAACTTTATAATAATAGAGCTGCTGCACATTTTATGTTAAAAAATTATAGGTATATTTTGATCTGTTATTAGATACTTTGATATATTAATTTGTTACAATATTAAGATGATTTTTTATCTAAATTACAGATCAAGTTTAAATGATTGCAAGTTAGCTCTGAAATTAAAATCAAATTATACAAAAGCTTTAAATAGAGCTGCCACTTGTTGTTTACATATAAAAGATTATGATAATTGTATTGATTTTTGTGATCAGTTACTTGATGAATCTCCTACTGATAAGATAATATTACATTTAAAATCACAAGCAGTTGCTGCAAGAGTAAGACATATTTTGATATTATCATGATATTATATGAATTTGATAAAATATTATATATATATATATTATTTATATTATTTATTATAATATATATATATATATATTAATATATATTATATTATATTATATATAATTATTATATATGTTTTATATATTATATATACATAATATATAGATATAATTCATATTTAAATATTTGGGATCGTATATAGGATCGTTTAAAAAGAGATAAAAGAAAACAAGATAGATTAGAAAAGCAATTAAATAAAAAAGAAGAAGAATTATTAAATATAATAAAAAGAAATGGGATTAATTTAGAATTGATTGAAGAAAATAAAAATCCAGATTTAAAAGACTTGGAACCTCAAGTACCACAAATAGCACAGAATAGGGTTCATTTGGATGCACAAAATAAGCTTATTTGGCCAATTATGATTTTATATCCAGAAACAAAACAAACAGATTTTATACAAAATTTCCATGAAGATACATTGTATGATTTTATGTAATATAAATATTTAAAATTATTTAAAAAATTAAAGACTATTTCATATAAATTTGCTTATTCAGGTTGATAGAACAATTAGAACAGTTGTTTAATGAACCACCTGAGTGGGATTCACAGAAACGTTATATTCTTCAGAATATAAATGTTTATTTTGAGGGTAAAGATAAATGTTCTTTATATAAAGTAGACATCCGTCAGTCTCTAGGGAAAATCTTACAGGACGAGCGGTAAGTGTGAAAAGATAAATGAAATTAAAATCCCAAATAATTATAAAATAAAAAATTTCAGATTTATAGTGCGAGGAGGTACACCGGCATTTTTAATATTTGTAAAATCTAGTGAAGCAGAAAAACGATTCTTAATGAATTATTAAATTATCGTTATATATTGTCCTATTTTTAAATTTATAAAAAAAATATATTCATAAAAAATACATAATTATTAATTATTACTACCTTTCCCCTAAATCAAGTTGAAAAAAAATATGAAAAAAAACATTATTTCTGAAAAAAATTTAGTATATTTCCTCTAAAAAATAATTAACATAAGTAGATTCCATTTTATAATATAAACGTAGAAGGGACCGATGGTAGATGATTGAGCAGTGGTGCCACCTGTAACACCTGCCAGAGCCAAATGGGCATAAAGAGTCAGGGCCTGAGTTAGAAATTCAGTTCAAGAGACGCTCTAGAACGTGTGGATGCGTCTTGAAACGGTTGCACTTCTAATTGTTACGACAAAATTGTGTTAATACTGTGATAAAAACGTGTTGTGTTAGAAAGACGATTAAAGAAAATTAGTAATTTATTAATGGATGTTGAACATTAATTGGTTCAAATTTGAATTGTGAAATAAGATTTTTACAACGTGGAAGAGAAGCAGAACGGGACACAAACGATGCCAAAGCAATGCAGGCAAAATTTTGTACTTCTTCATTTCTTATTTCTTCAATAATTCCTTCTGTAGGGATAGATTGTTAGTATTTTTTAACAATTAATATTATATTTAATATATAAATTTTATATTGCATTATTAATAATTATCAATATAATTAATAAATATCCATTTTTCTTCCATGAATAGAAGTTTTATTTAAATTTTAAATTATTCATGTTTCATCTGATTTTAATTCGAGAAATAAGGTGAAAGTTCATGGAATTATTAAATGGATAAATTTCTGATTTTTATTCTTCGAAAAACGATGTTATATTAAAAATATGTTTAATTTTTAAGCTATACAAATAATATAGTTCTTTTATATTAAAAATTAATTAATTTTTTTATATAATTCTACGAAAATTTCGTTAACTTTTATTGTCTTATTGAAAGTGAATCGTAATCATGTAGTATGCAGATTCATTTTAATTTCAAGTGATGTGGAATTGCAGTTACATAGAAATGGTGACTGTTGTTGCATCGTGTCGATATTGCAAGATCGATAAAAATCGCACGCATCCGGGTTTAACAATTTTTAAAAATAAAAGCCATGGGTGACCGAATATAAAATAAAGAAGAAACGTATTCACGGAGTGAATCAGTGTCAGATACGTTACAACTGACGTGATGTTATTAGTACATACCAATGAAACAATGGCGTGTTAAATTATTCATGAGGTCATTGTTGCATCGTAACGCAGATTCAAACGTCGAGCAATTTGAGGTGCGACGAAATTGAAATTCACCAAAATTCGATCGTAATTATTAATAACTTCATCTTATTGGTTCTATTTAATTAATTTATGTTAACAAAAATAAATTATATCAAAATTATTATATATTTTATGCTACGAAAAAGTATTTCGTGAGAAGAATTTCATGACAGAATTATTTCTAAAAGAATCATCAAGAAATTACGTTATATTATACTTACTACTCGTGACTACCTTTCTCTCATCGTTCGTCTCTTTGTTTTTTTTTTATTCTTTTAAGATGGTTATCCTTAGATTCAGAAACGGATTTCATTCAATTATAATAACAAGAAAGTGGGAATTCGAATTATGTATTTTCTTATTTAATCGAATCAAAAATTACTGTTTCGGATAAAATTAATATTATAAATATCAATAGACGATATTAATTATTATTGTTATAAATTATTATATATAATTATTAATTA